AATTCCCTTTCTTCAGCATGGGCTTTTTCCAAATTTTTTCTCTCTTCTTCTATAGCTTTTAAAACTACATCCTTCATTGCTTCTTTCTCAAACTTTGCAGCAGATACTAAAGCTTCTTTATTTCTTTGCCTTTCTTCCTCTAAACATTTTTCCAATATTTCCTTCTGTTCTTGAGATTGCTGAGTCAAAGCTTCCTTTATTTTTTCTCTTAACAATTCCTTCTCTGTATCTAGCATTTCAAGAAGCCTCTGATGCTGAGCATTTAGCAGCTCCTCACATTTGTGTGCTTGTTTCTCAATTGCAGAAATGTACTGTTTTTCAATAGCTTCGACTTGTTGCTTAACTGAAGATTGTAGTAGTGCCTTATATTCATCCACAATAATGCTGAGGGCTTCATGACCAGCTTTCCTCATGTCTTCCAATTCTTGTTTATGTTTTTCCTGAAGTTCTTTGTATCTATCTTGAAAAGAAATGGCCTCTTGCTCTTTTTCTTTTAGAAAGCCTTTTTCTAAGACACTATGTTTTTCCATTAATGATTCTACATCCTTTTTAATTCTCTGTTTTTCTTCTTCAGATACTTTGAGCTTAATCTCTAGACTTGAAATTTTTTGCTGAAGCTCTATGTTTGATACATTGGCTCCAGGATCCTCAGAATCATCCACAAGGGCAATTGTTCCATTATTTTTTTCATCAGTTAAATTCAATGGAAAAAGTGAGATATCCAGATGAGTGTGTGTTGATTGCTGAATCTGTGCTTTAGGAACATTGTGACTCACAATGCTGTTATCTGTATGGATATTCTCTGGAGATGAAATGATGGCATCGGAAGAGAGGCAGCCAACTGAAGGAGAAGAGTGGTCATGGTCCAGTACAATCTCAGGAGACGCTGATGAAAGATGGACTCCAGATACTGTAGGAAAGGCAGCCCAAGGAATAGCAGGAGATGTTGTTTGAGCGTCACCATTTCCACCACCAAAAGTCTCTGCAGCCTCAAAACCACCAAAATCATCATCATCCATTGTTCAAGTGGCACCAGAATCAGTCCTGGAACCTGGAAGTCCTCTTCCTCTGAGTCACGTAAAGAAGGGTTAGATGCCTGAGGAAGGATCAAGGTCTCGGTTGGGTGAAAGCATCGGTGACACAATCACGTGTATTTGTGCAAGGACTTTCAAAAACACTCGGTCCTGGAACGTGCAGGTGCCGCTATCCGCCGGCGAGAGCGTGAACGGGTGGGCACTCCCAGTCCCAGGTGCCAGGCTCCGTTCCCGCCGGAGACGGTCACACCCCCTGACTCGTGGTCTCCGCCACCGCGGGGGCGAGGCCGGAGCCGGCAGGCGGAGGGCGGCCAAAGTTCCGCCGCGCTGCCCGCCCGCCTCGTGCGGACCCGGCCCCAGCCGGAAGATGGCATTATTATTATTATTATTGAGACAGAGTCTCAAGCTATTGCCCTGGATAGAGTGCTGTGGCAACATAGCTCACAGCCACCTCCAGCTCTTGGGCTTGAGCGATCCTCTTGCCTCAGTTTTTCTATTTTATTTATTTATTTAGAGACAGAGTCTCACTTTATTGCCCTTGGTAGAGTGCCGTGGTGTCACAGTTCACAGCAACTTCCAACTCCTGGGCTTAGGTGCTCTCCTGCTGTAGCCTCCCAAGTAGCTGGGACTATAGGCACCCGCCACAATGCCTGGCTATTTTTTTTGTTGCAGTTCGGCAGGGGCTGGGTTTGAACCTGTCACCTTTGGTATACGGGACCATTGCCCTACTCACTGAGCCACACGCGCCGCCCAGTTTTTCTATTTTAGTAGAGATGGGGTCTCACTTTTGCTCAGCCTAATCTCAAACCTGTGAGCTCAAATTATCCGTCTGCTTCAGCCTCCCAGAGTGCTGCGATTACAGGCATGAGTCACCGTGCCCGGCCTAGGCCATATTATTTGTAATAGCTTTACTGAGATATAATTTGTGTATTGTATAGTTCATAGATTTAAAGTGTACAATTAAGGCTGGGCCTGGTTGCTCACACCTATAATCCCAGCAGTCTGGGAGGATGAGGCTGGTGGATTGCTTGAGCTCAGGCTTTCGAGACCAGCCTGAGCAAGAGAGATACCCCTTATCTATAAAAATAGACAGGCGTTGTAGTGAGCTATGATGCTGTGGCACTCTACTGAGGGAGACAAAGTAAGACTGTGTCTCAGGAAGATAAATAAAGTATACAATTAAATCGTGTTTAATATATGAACAAAGTTGTACATTCTAGCCACAATCAGTATTAGAATATGTTAATTACCGTAGAAAGAAACTTCATACCTGTTGTGATATAGATTAAACCAAAATGCTTTTTCCCACTATATTCAGAGTACTTCATACAATATAACATTTGTGACCCCAGATGAGTGGAAATTTTTTCTCTATACACCAAGCAAGAAACTCTGTAGTGGATACCAGCTGTGTGTCCTATAATTCAACCCAATTCTGATACTATCTTCCTGAAGAGAGCATCAGGTCCCATAGGTTAAGGATCCAATCTCCCAAGACTGTATCCCACTGCAGGCGTCAGTCAGGGCCTTCTGGCAGATCAGTTATAAATTTGTATTATTATAACTTCCTCCTTGGGTTTGATTATTTAGCTGAAGTGCCTCACAGAAGTCAAGAATACACTTACTTATGTTTACCCAAAGGATACCAGTCAACAGCCAGATGGAAGAGATGTTTAAAGAAAGTTATGTGGGAAGGGGTATAGAGTTTCTGAGCCTTCTCTGGGCAAACCACCCTCCAGGGACCTCTATGACTTAGGCCATGTGGAAGCTCTATAAGGGCATGTATCTTATTCCTGAGGGCTCCACCCTCACGACCCAACCACAGGCCCTTTTCCTTATACCATCATATTGAGTTTAGGATTACAACATGAATTTTGGGAGTAGGCAAACATTCAGTCCATCACTATTACCTAATTGCCATTTGGGAAATGCCAAATATAGTTTAGGTATAAGCCAGGAGAGGTACCTCACACCTGTAATCCTAGTACTCTGGGAAGCTGAGGTGGGTGGATTGCTTGAGCTCAGGAGTTCAAGACGAGCCTGAGCAAAAGCCAGACCCATCTCTACTAAAAATAGAAACATTAGGTGGGCACCTATATTCCAAACTACCCAGGAGGCTGAGGCAAGAGGATCACTTAAGCCCAAGAGTTTGAGGTTGCTGTGAGCTATGATGACAGGGCACTCCTCCAGGGCAACAGAATGAGATTCTGCCTCAAAAACAAACAAACAAACAAACAAAAAATATAGTTTAGGGTGGCATCCATAGCTCAGTGGGTGGGACGCTGACCAGGTACAACGAGGCTGGCAGGTTTGAGCCTGGTCCAGGCCAGCTAAAACAACAATGACAACTGCAACAACAACAACAACAACAATAACAACAACCAAAATAGCCAGGAGTTCTGGCAGGTGCCTGTAGTCCCAGCTATTTGGGAGGTTGAGGCATGAGAATTGCTTAAACCCAAGAGTTTGAGGTTGTTGTGACCTGTGATGCCACGACACTCTACCCAGGGTGACAGCTTGAGACTCTGTCTCCGAAAAAGAAAATATAGTTTAGGTATAAAAGATATCTTAATAGTGCTATAATTCTGAATTTAGATTCTGAATTTGGGAAAGGCAAAATCAAGAATAGTTGTTGGAGGAGACATGGTTTAAATCATAAAACCAAGAAATATTTACAATCAGCGCTATAAAACAACAATAGATAATACTGAGGTTAAACCTGTAGTTCACACACACACCCCCAAAAGAAAGGTAAAAAGGAATAGTAATTACTCATCTTAGCCAGGAGAGGGGGATGTTTGTTCATTTCTGTGGCTTGGATAATGTTTGTGTTTTCTCTGTGTTCAGACCTGATAAAGCAGTGGCTTTGCCTTTTCTCTCATATTCCTGTTACTGAGGGACCTGGCCAGAGGTTGGCACTCTGTGAGATTGTTTCCCAGGTCAACTCCCATATGTCTGGGGTTATTTTTCTCTTTCTCATCAATATTACTGGGCTATGATAGGGGAATACAGTGATCCTGTTTAAATATATGTCTTATATATATTTTAAGTCTAATCTGTCAGGCCTTACAAGGAGCCCCCCTTCCATGAAATCTAATGAACACAACACAGTTTTAGAATAGAGTTTTGAAACTAGGTGGCAAACCAGGCTCAAATATGGACATAAAGAAAAATCCTGTCTGCCCAGCATGCTGGATCACACCTGTTATCCCAGGACTTTGGGATGCCTAGGTGGAGGATCATGTGAGGTGGGGAGTTCAAGACCAGCCTGAACAACATAGCAAGATCCACATTTCTATAAAAAAAATAAGAACAATTGACCAGGCCAGTCATGTTGGCTCACACCTGTAATCTGGGAGGCTGAGGCTGGTAGATTGCCTGAGATCAGGATTTCGAGACCAGCCTGAGCAAGAGTGAGACCTTGTCTCTAAAAATATCCAGGCATTGTGGTGGGTACCTGTAGTCCAGGCTACTTGGGAGGCTGAGACAAGAGGATCTCTTGAGCCCAAGATTTTGAGGTTGCTGTGAGCTATGATGCAATGGCACTCTACTGAGGGTGACAAAGTAAGACTAGGTCTAAACAAAAGAAAGAAGAAAGAAAGAAAGAAAGAAAGAAAGAAAGAAAGAA